GCGTACTTCCGTCTTTCTGCAAAGACGCTGTATCCCTTTCAGCCCGAGTTGGCCCTAACAGACGGTGTGAAGCATCCCTCAATCAGAAACTAAATTGCGCCGAAAGAGGCGTAAAACACATTGTATCAGCTTGCATTTATAAACGACCCATCACACCCCCTATCCACGCAAGGTAACACCACGCAGCGGCAGATATGTACCTCTAAAAACATAGAAAGAAAGCTATACAAGAAGTTTTTTACCATCCAGCATAAGGCTTTTGTCAGAATAAACATACATGTGCATTGGTCTTTCGAGTATGTATCTTTACAACTTTAAAGGTCTTGTAATTAAATTCCTGCATGTGGTTGAATGATGTATCTGATGTGATATTATGTACATTTTGTCTGATTTACTTTTCTTTCCATATTGGATTTTAGTGAGAGTAATATATAACTTAAATTTTTATGTATACCTGCGTGTGTTTTTACGGTCCTGAACAGCAAAGAAAAATGTCCCTATGGGATAATAAAGTATTATCTATCTTTTCTTATCTCACTTTGGGCCTCGTATAACCTCCTTAATGTCTGCTAGGGATGCTGAACGAGCTCAGCTGATGATAATCTTACAACACGTCTCCTTGCCTTACAGTCCTCTTCTGGCTTAACGGCTGTCCTCCCAAATATGGCCCGCTAATTTTTCTTCTGTCTTCCCTGCGCCTTGCAGTATGTTTTTAAAATACTTTTCTGACACTTGTTATATGACCATGTGGGAGAAAACTCGTGGGATGAGCGGAAAGCAGGAGATCTTGAGACGAAGAACTTCCTTCAAACAAGTATTTCGGCCCTCACCTCCTGACACTCTAAGGAGGCCAGCCCACACTCAGGTCATCACTCCTAAGTGCTCTCCTGTGACCAAACAATTTCAGTTTTCTTTTACGATTTCAAGTAGCAGTCTTCAAAAAGTTAACACCTATAATAAAAAATAATTTTTAAAAATATTCGCGTCTTTCGGACAGGCCACGCCCCCAACATGGCCATCAACAGCGCTAGCCCCACCTACGTGACAGGCGTCCCATATGCCCCTGAGGCCAAGTACATCCTGGCCGGCATTCACTTCCACTTCAGCGACGGCAGCAAGGGCGGATCGGAGCACGCTCTCAATGGGGAGAGATATGACGGAGAGGTCAGTAATGTTACCTACCACGGTTTGTTTCTC